AAGTGAAAGAGTAATTACAGTTGACCAGAAAGAGTTTGATACTACTGGACTTGGTATTGATGATTTAATTGATGCATATGTGCAAACTGTATTAAGCATTATTGCTATTGATAAAATGTGCCAGAAACTTTTTGTTAATAATGAGTTCAATTTTGAATTATTTCGCACATTGAACCCCGATGATGTCTTATTAAATGAGTTGTTATTGTAGATTATTATGCTTTTCAAATTACTGTGATCAAATTTCACGTGTCATATACACGAATGTAAAATATAAAAAAATGCTAAAAATGAAAAAAATTTTAAATTATCACGCTTTTCAAAATTTCCCAGATTTATAACTTTTTTTGCAAATAAATCTAAATTTCTTGCCTATACTGTAAATAAAAACTTCCAAAATTTCTCTTTTATTTCTGCTTTCCTGATTCTGCACCTAGTAAGCTGATTATTGATACTGTATAGCTGAATAACAATGGAAATCTTAGACTTGTTTTCGAGTCAAAATAAATAAAAATTGAATAATGCCAGATTACTTTTTTTACTATCATACATAAAAGAACTATACTTGTTTTCGAGTCAAAATAAATAACTATAAGATAAAAGCACCTTTGAAATTGCATTAAATAGTATAGGAATTCTGTTTTTTCTCCTCTTCACCCCTTATTTTATTTATTTTCAATTTTATTTTATTTTTATTTTTTTTAAATACTTTTTGAAATTTTAAGAATTCAAATTACAACAAATTACAACAAGGAATCTTTGGAATTGCGACTTTTTAAGTGACAATTTTTTTTAAAAAAATGAAGAGTTTAAGATAATTATACAGATTTCCATATGATCATCTGCCAATCACAGTAATACGATAAATTGTGAAAATTTAGCATAATTAACACTATATGCCTTCGATTGCTTTTTCAATGGAGAAGCAGTTCATTGAATTGAGGTATATCTATTTCAATATGAAATTTAAGATATGCTGCTGCTGCTGCTAATAATTATATTCTTATCGATCTGAGGGTATGTCACGCTCTATCCTATGTTAAAATTTTTCGTATGAAATTTCATATGAACTATGATGTCTTTTATCCTCTTAAGTGGTAATTACTTTTTTTTTGTTGTTAAATACTTTACTGTTGCGTTTATTAAAAATGCATTAGTATTTTATTTCACTATTTGACAAAGCTGCTATCTGTATAAGGTCTGGTATTTAAAGAATCTTGAGTTTTATTGAATTTTCACTTACATTTTACATTTTTTTTCTTTCACGCAGACTTATTATAATCGTATAAATATTCAGTATATATAGCAAAATTCCAAAGACTCTCTCTGTCTTCATTTACTGTAGTGTTGTTGGCATTGAAGTTCCGAATTGGCAATATATGCACTATGTAAACCATTCTATAAAACCATATATAAAAAAACCTCGTTTTATACACGTCGTTCTGGTTATATCGACATTTCTGAGGCATTAGTAAAAAAACTCAAAATGTCGATACAGTGAGTTATACCGATATTTTATACTAAAAATGTTTAAAAAATGTCTGTACTTAACGATTTTATTATGATTTCGTTATATCCAGATGTCAGATAACCAGAGTGACTATTCAACGTTTCTATAATACGGTTATTTAAATCTTCAATAGTACTATTGAATATATATGGGGATGTCAATAGAAACCAAGCAAATTGTTTCTAAGTAAATTTTTTTAAACTTTAAATTAAATATCTCAACAACCATTAAACCAAATTTGGTAAATTTTTTTATTTTAATTTTATTTAGTTATAGAATTAAAATAAAAGAATTTTATCCAGTTTGATTAAATAGTTGTTAAAATATTTAATTTAAAGTTTTAAAAAAAACACTAAAAACAATTTGCTTGGTTTCTATTGACACCCCATATACTGTATATCCTAAAACCTTTTTTTCCGGGCGTAATGATAGATGAACCTGTAAATTTCCTATGTACTATTAAAGATAACTGATAAGTGATGAATCACATGACAACAAAATTTCTATTATTATTGTAATGGCCACATTCGCGTAACTTCACTTTAGACATTTCTTCACAGTAATATCATTGAATATATACTACATACTACACTGTATTGTAATTACTGCTTATTTAACGCGAAAAATTTTTATTGAATTTGGGAACTGATGCCTTATTTTCTATCTGAAACATTAATACAGTATTATTAAATTAACTCAACTCTTTAGGTGATATTGTGATTTTACACTCGATGAGTTGAGTTGGTGAAATTAGTGAATTTGACTTCATCAGTACAGTATCTAGTACATACAGTACGTAGGTACGTACGTACGCAAAATTATTGACCCATTGTAACTCAATTTCCGAAGCATAGTACAGTAGAAATGGACTTGCAACTGGGGTTAAATCGCCACCCAATAAAATTTCAGATCGTGTGATTTAATAATTACAATGTATCAATTATTATACGATGCTTATTACAGAATTGTTAAAATTTTCATAAAAATAGTAACGGAAAAACGAAAATACAGTCAGACCTTTCTAAATACATTGTGGCGGGACCATATGCAAAAGTTGAGCCAAGCGTGCATTTAGCATTTAAACCTATTAGCTGACCCAATAGAAGGTATGCATTTAGGGAGGTTTTCATAGAGCGTGCATTTATTTAGGGAGGTTTGTGCATTTAGGGAGGTTGCATTTAGAGGGGTCTAACTGTAGAATACGTGAATGATGTATATCACATGATCTGAATTTTTCGACATCCGGAAATACCGACATTTTGTTAAAATTCTAAACCTATATATTTAATATGAAAATGCCTCTGATTAAACCAACATATGGATATATCGGACAATTTCTTTATCTTTTTGAGATGTCGATATAACCAAAATAGATTTGCTTCATCTCTCATTTTTGAAACAATATGGGATCTTTGAGGCTTTGTTGATTTTGTCAATAAAAATTACATTTGTCAACTATCTAGTTATCCAATTTGAATAAACTTTTATTTTGTAGATCCCATATATTATTAATAAAGAACAGATATGTGCAGTTCTTTTGAGTATTGGTTGTTTATTACAAGTTTTTTTTTTTTTCTTTGGATATGTCTGTCATCCCGACAGACCACAATTTAAACAATTCTTGTGCTCAAAAACCTTACAATCTTTCTTTTACCATGGTTGCAATCATGATGGGCTAGTTCAATCAAGCACTACGTTGCTTCCGGGCAGGGAGGGTGATCGACATGACCGAAACAAAAGTTGGGTTCGCAGAAAAGTAATCACTAAACAATCTATTTTGTTAGCATGGACATATAAACATGCCGATATGCTAGTTTTACTGTAATAACTATAACATTATTATGTTATTTTTCACTCTTACATAATTATATTGTCACCTTTTATCATTATTTTAACTTCGGAATTTCGCCATTTTCTGCAGTTGTCAGCTTCTGCTCTTTCGTCAGTTTCCTTTCGTCAATTAAATTTTTTTTTTTTTGGCGAAAATAGATGCTTTTCAGGTTTCGCCTGACAACTATACATTTTTTTCAAAAACTTCAATAATTTTGTAAATTGATTATGTGATACGTACTATTGTAATGTTTGAAACAATACCAAAAATACAGTATGTTTGGACATTAGTTTCACATTTTTCGTCGGATCAGTCCGTATTAATTGAAAATTCGGTTGAATTGTCAGTAAACATATGATAGGTCATGGTTTTAGATGAGCATAAAAAAGAAAGTATAAAATATAAAGAAATGCCCTAAAATTAGAGTTGTTAATAGAGTACTCCAAACTATAATAAAACATATAACCCGCTTTTGTAGTGCTCCAGAGTGGGTTGTATGTTTTATTATTAACTGGAGCATCTAAAATACTAATTTTTGATCTCGTGAAATAAATAGTGGCACTGATCAATTATTGATGTTGAGATCTGAGAATCTTTATTTTATTTCCTTTTAGGGATGGCTAAAACCAGGTAACGTACGTACAGTACGCCACGATTTATTCTGATTGTTAACTAAAATCGATTGATATTAGGGTTAGGGTTAAATTAAGGATAGAGAAAGTAACTTACATATAGTAAAATCGCATTTCCAACATTTTTTACTTAGTGAACCAAGACTGGTTTAGATGACCGTTTTTTTTTGTCGGTTTGTTCGGAATGATATCGGGTAATCTCGTGATGTACCTATCCCTTTTTAAGGCATCAAATATTTGGCATTTTAGCATTATCAATATTTCAAGGTGACAAAATTTTATAATTTAAATAATGTGTAAGATTGTTGACCTAATGCAGTTTTGCGCTCCCTTTTTTGGGGGTTGGTATTACGAGAATATTCAAATTTTGCAATAAGGTTAATTAAATATCCTTTTAAGACAAGTAAACATAGGGTGCATGCATTTTTTCGAAACCAAAGGCGCCAAAATTTTATAATCTTTTTTACTATAAAGCTTTCTTCGCCAGATTAATTCTCAATTCTAGTTTATCTTAAAGGAATCATTGTCATTGTAATCGCATAACAGCACTGTATGTATTCGTATCAACCTTCGCGCCAGCCTCTGTATCAACCTTCATACCAACCTTCATACCAACCTTCGTATCAACCTTCATACCAACCTTCATACCAACCTTCATACCAACCTTCATATCAACATTCATATCAACCTTCACATCAACCTTCACATCAATCATATCAACCAAATTATTATGTAGCAGCAAGTACTGGATTGCCATCTTCCTCCAATGGAGGCGGAAATGAAACTAATGACTCATCAAATCCCATTGTGAATAAATACTTACGTTCGTCATATTCCAGGGTGTTATCCTCAGTTGGATCGCTTCGGTCTTAATGTTATTACTAGCAATCATTGTAGCAATGCAAGGTCAAGTGAAGGACCATAATGCCATATGGGACTTAAGAGTTGGGCTTTTCTTGACGGCTGTAACAGTAACCACTATAGTAACGTCATTTGTTGTAGGGTTTATAGTACCAGCAATATTAGCAGGAATCCTTATAATAAGCCATACGTCCAACTTAAACGGAACAGGTACGATGATTAGTCAATTAATGGAATCAGCCATGTCTCGTAGTCTATGGTGCACTTTGACGGCTTGCTTTAAATCCAATAAAACTCGAAAACTAGCTATTATGATTGCCTTAGTCATATTGTGGCAATATGCTGCAACTTTGGCTGACTTATATCTTCATGCCACTGCTATCGGAAATTCCCAACAAATGCCTGGACCAACAATTCCAAGCGCCAGTTCATTAGAAATAGCAAATAATTGTTCTGAGATATCTTATTCAAATAATTGTGCATCACAAAATCAGAATCCAAGAAAGGTATTAACAGTTTACCAAAATACAAGTGATACCTTACAAATTCGGAGTAATGACGACGGTATTTATCTTTTGCAATCACCACCTTCAGAGAAAGTCTATTCATATTCAGGATCAGGTGTCTTTTTGCGTTCCTCTTGTGTACCTATTAGTAGTATATGTAATTTAAAAGCCAGATATGGTTCCAATACCAATTATTCTTGTCCTGGAACATTATGGTTTGCCTCAGGAAATACAGTAACGAAAAATTTTGATATAAACGTTACCAGCGCAATTAATAACCAAGGAAAATATATAGCATCTAATCCCATACATGCAATTATCACTGCACGCTACAGCAAAGCAGATTCAGATTATGATTCAGAGTTCGTGACTGAAGTACATGGTGATCTTTCAATTTTACTACACTGCCAACTATTAGCTTCAAAGATCAATTACGTTATTACTCTTGGATCGTTAAAAGTATCCTCACAAGAAAATCTTACGAATTCTCAACTTTTTACTCTCGGTGCTGCATCAATGAATTATAACATGGCATTTCGATCGATGATTGATGTCCAAGTTATAGCAAATAAAGGAAATAGTACATTATTCGCTAATTCATTTGCACAACAATGGGCTCGAGCAACAATCGCTGCATTCAGCCCTATTGTACAAGAAAATAGTGCAGGAGGGGGATATTCTTATACAATCGAGGTGAATAAAGACCAAACTATTGTTCCACTTTCAGCAGTCGCAATTTATGCTATTATTGTCATATTGCCGCTGTTAGTTTTCTCGTATATATGTGTTTATTCTCTGTTTAATCGACACACAAATTGGATACTTGCAGAATTCATATGTTCACCACAAAGATTGCTTTATCAAACCTTAGTTAATGGACATAATGTGAATGATGGTTGTTCGGAAAGTTTGGCATCACAAGCAAATAAAATGGAAAAAATTGAGTGTAGTGTTAAAATAAATAGGAATCATTGTGAATTTTCGTCACAAATTTTAAGAACAAATAATTCGTAATATAATCTTTATTTTGTCAGTGCCAATAAACAAAAATAGCTTTTCTTTTTAAATAGAAAAATAAAGATATCGAAATGTTTAGCCCTTTTTATTTTATTTTATTTTATTTTATTTTTTGATGGTGTGCTTACATTAACGTAATTTAGGCCGATGATCTAAATTGGCTCAAAGTTTTGATTTTTAGATTACGAATAGAAATATATAGTTTTATATTTATGCTGTGCATAATTTGGGTAAGAATGTAATGCATTACACAGCATATATTATCAAGTACAATAATTACCGAATTTACTAATTTCGAAAAAGAAATATAACAAAACATGTACACAACAGCATGTACTGTGCGAATGTCTTGAAACTTATACGTAGATTTAGATCTTTGAATCTTTTTAATTATTAACTCTTTCTGGGAGTTGTAAGCATATGAACAGAACATTTTCAAATATTTCCTATCAAACGCCAAGTTTTTAGAATTATAGTTAGTCAATATGAATTTACGCTCACCAGTATTCCAAGGCATTATTCTTGGCTGGGCTGTTTTTATAATAGTATTATTATTAGTGTTCGCCGCTGGAACACGAGGTCAAAGGAAAGATTTCAATGTTACATGGGATTTGCGTGTAGGTTTATTCTTGACTGCTGTCACAATAATTACAAGAACAATATCTTTTGCTGCTGGATTTATGGTACCAGCCATTTTATCAGGTGTACTCGCCTTTAACAAAATTTCTAATGTAAATGGGCCAGGTACGACGATTAGTCAATTAATGCAAGCATCTATGTCTCATAGCCTAGTTTGCACTTTGAAATCTTGCTTTAACTCTGGCCAAACTCGTAAGCTCGCTATCGCTATTGCTTTTGTTTTTGCTTGGCAATATTTAGCAACGATAGCAGATTTATACCTTCATACAACTGCTATTGGAAATTCTCAAAAACTGCCTGGAACAACAGTCTCAAGCACCAGATCGTTAGATATAGCAACCAATTGTTCTGATACATCTCGTTTAGACAATTGCGTGGCACGTAAACGTGGAATGAAAAATGGATATAAAGCATTGGAAGTGTACTATAATACAAGTGATTCTCTAAAAGTTTGGCACACTAATGATGGCGTTTACCTTTTGCAATCACCGCCTGCAGAGCAAGTCTATTCATATTCTGGAACTGCCGTTTTTTTACAACCTTCCTGTAAACCTATTAGCAGTGTGTGCAATTTAAGGAGCATAAGTTTCAATGTTACAAGTTACAACTGCCCTAAAACACTATGGTCTGCTTCGAGTGATTTATTTAATAATGATACAGTAGGAATTGATATAGGCATAAACGTTACCAACACAAATTTGGTCTTACAGCAAAACTATGTAGCATCTAATCCTATAGAAGCAATTGCTTTTGTACGCTATGTTAAAGATTATTCAACTAATTATGATTCTGAGTTTGTGAGAGAATTAAATGGTAATGTCACGATTTTACTACATTGTCAATTACTCTCCTCAGTAGTCGATTATGTTGTTACTCTTGGATCTCTAAAAGCATCTCCACAAAGAAACTTGACAAATTCACAACTTTTTAACCTTGGTGTTGCGTCAACACAATATATAGTGACGCGTATAGCACAACGTGATATCGAAATCGTAATGTACAAAGGAAATAGTACATTATTTGCTGATACATTTGCGCAGCAGTGGGCCCACGCAACTATTTCTGCATTTAGTGTTATGGTGCAAGGAAATGGAACAGCAAGTGGGTATAGTTATACTCTTGAAGAAGATAAAAACCAAAGTATTGTTCCACTTTCAGCCACCTTAGTCTATGCATTTGCTATCACATTCCCGTTGTTAATTTTTTCCTGTATATGTCTCTTCTCTCTACGAAACACGCACATCAACTGGACTCTTGCTGAATTTCTTTGTTCACCACAAAGACTATTTTATCAATTATTAATTGGGTCACATTATATCAATGATGGTTGCTTGAATAATTTGACAGAACAAGCAAAAAGAATTAAAAATATTGAATGTAATATTACAGAGGACGGTCATTTTGAATTGATACAAAATTAAATTTAGAATATTTTACCATAAACAATAGATATAAAATTATAAATAATTTAGTCGAGTTAAAGATAAATTAATTTTTAGATGATTTTAACGCTCAACGGTGATGAAATTTAATTTAACGTAATTTATGTAATTTTTGCTTAAGGTTCGGTAAATTGGATTTTTATGTAATTTTGTAATTTTTTGATCACATGATGTATGGCTTCTGCGATCGATCATACAGTAATTTGAAAAGCACGATAAATAAAACAACAGGAGGGAACGTACCTAAAAATAGAAACACGTTACACAATTGATTTACATCGTAATTTATACATTATAAAGTACTTTTTCACGAGGCTTGTGTAGCCTATCTTTCTTATGAAATGTAAAAAGTCTATTAAGCAAACTTGAAGTTCTCGTACCGTATTTTAATAATATCGGATG